CCAGCTTGAAAATGACTTCTTGAAATGGAGGTCCTCATTTGCCATCTGATGTTTCAAAAGCGCCTCTCTCGAAGAAAATGCGCTGTTGCCAATGTTCCGTGTGCACTGTTTGGGGAATGTCTTTTGTCGGAGGATCTTGCTTCAGACATTAGTGGGAGGAGAAAAGAAACATTGAGATGAGTGACACAGTTCCATGCCAGTGCAGTCTGAGGAGCTGTACGACATGTCCAAGTCGGTAGCGCAGAGCTAGTCATGCAGTTGCTTGCCGAGAGGCGTAGCAGGTTGCCAAATACCTTCGCCTTTATGGAAATCCCTAAGCCCTAAACCTTAAACCCCTACTCACTGCTATCACGGCCTCCATGCTTTCTGAATCTCTTCTTGAAGCCAGTACGATTGCCATTGCCTCATATAACCCTCCGGGAAGCTCCATCATCCCAAGAATCATCACCCCCCAAACATTCTAATAGAATTATGCTTGAAATATGGCCTCCCTTAAGTAGATAGAACATGGGGTATATGGGGATCTTAGGGAGTTGTAGTTCACATGTTCCGCCCCAAAATAATCCAGCTTTGAATTTCATTATTCATCCGATGTATGTATGGTTCTCCATTCTCCATCATTAATGGAGTCCTATCTAGGAAAACCAGACAAAACTATTATCCCGTAGCCCCTTACGACTGCATATGGTTATAGATCACACTGATGTTTCTTAATGTGCCTTCTTAGGCCCTAAACCCCTAAACCTCTACACGTGTTTGTTCCCAGGCTACACGTTCCATGCTCTTTTCCTTATGAGTCTCCGCCTTTGTGGCTTTATCTCCCCCACAAACCCTAAACCTTGGGTACTGCTCCCACTCAGTAACAGTTGCATAATAAGTATAATATGGTTATATATAGCCCTTAATAGGACCCCTAATATAGACTGTTAATGGGTGGGGACAGGACCCAACCTAAACCCTGAATAATAGTTTCCATGCATTTTCCACGACCTCAGCAGCCTGGCAGGCTTTGATCCAGGTCAACTTTGAGGATGCGTGCAACTCAGGTTGAGGGTTTGGGGTTTAGGGTTGGTGGTTTTGGGGTTTAGGGTTTAGGGGTTGGGTTTAGGGTTGGTGGTTTTGGGGTTTTGGGCTTTAGGGTTTTGGGTTTAGGGTTGGTGGTTTTGGGGTTTAGGGTTTGGGGTTTAGGGTTGGTGGTTTTGGGGTTTAGGGTTTGGGTTTAGGGTTGGTGGTTTTGGGGTTTGGGGTTTAGGGTTGGTGGTTTTGGGGTTTGGGGTTTAGGGTTGGTGGTTTTGGAGTTTAGGGTTTGGGGTTTAGGTTGGGGTCTAGGGCTTTAGGGTTTAGCGGTTCAGCGGAGCGCAGCGGGCGCATTCAGCTGCGCCTGGTGGTAGTGTAGCTGGTGGGTAGACAAGCATTAGTTCGTGCCGGTCAAAGGGTAGATGGCAGAACGAGACCATGTTTGCAAAGATGAGGTGCCTGTGGACACAGACGAGTATGAACTTCGGAGCTCGTATGTCTTGGCCTTGGACTGCACGGAGCCTCACATCTTTCCCGGACACAGTGACCCGAATGCGAAAGCTACTCCAATGTAGTTCCTTTTTGGGTTTGGTATGGTTTTTTGACTAGGATTCTTATTAGGACTACCAAAAAGGTACTACATTGGAGGGTCTAGGTAAAGCTTAACTGCAGAGTATCGGCTCGGGAGAGGAATTCGCTGCATGCCCTCATGCTCCACCGGATGGGGCCAGCGCGCAGCTGCCGGAATGAGCCTTGGCGAGCACTGGACGCTAGTAAAAAGGTATGCAGATCATGGTCACGGCCTGGCTGAAGGAACTTCATTTCAGTCACTATACTGGGATATATTATAGGGTTTAGGGTCATATACTGCACTCCTGCGCAAGCCTCTGTAATTTCCGCAAGATGGGCACAGTTGTTCCTTTCACGTTGGTTTTCATGGCAGCTCGGATGCAGTGGAAGAGATTCTGCCGGGTGTTCCTGCTTACATTACCGAGGAGCTGTCGAGCAGTGGTATAGTGATCCAGTTCGAAGTGGTTCCCGATGCCTGAGTTGATAGGGCCGGCCTGCAGATGCTTAGTGCCTTGCGTGTTTCTCGTTCAGCTTCTAGCATGAAGAAGATGCTTTGTCAGATGTTCCGGCCTCAGTCCGTGACCCAACAAGGGTTTAGATACCCCTATAATGGAGAATCACATGGAAAAGAAAATGGAAAATGACATCGAAACGGGGGGAATATAGGGGCCCCAAGTTGGTGTCCCAGTACTTTCAGGTCATGCGCCTCCCGCAGCTTCGATGCTGCTTTTCGCGCGGATCAGAAGCTCGGAGCATCATCAGAACTATCCCCGTCATCACGTGGCCGCTGTCGACTTGTAACGACGCCTGATGATCGTTCCTTCTTCTTCTGCTGCTGCTGCAACTGTAGCTGTTATCTTTGTGCCGAGCCTGGTGTAGCAAGTGGCCTAGTGGCGATATCATGATCGGTATTCACCACGGCTTGCCCTACCTATCCTAATACTCTACTGTGTGGACCCTAGGGTTACAGGAGACCTACTCATACAGGGTTCCAATACGATATCATGAGCTCATTAAGAGGATAGAATACATTTACTATTATATTACTAATACTACTATTACAATGATTACTATGACTATTACTACTATTACTATTAATGATCTCACTCCATGGTCCCTCAAAGTACCCATCCCATAGCTCCCGCTGCACAAGGAAATCGAACCTGTGGTTGCTGGCCCTGCACAAGCTTACGGAGATGCGAAGTCTGCAAGTGCAGCACTCAAGCCTGTCATCGTCCCAAGTATCCATGCTTCCAGGCTAAGTTGAGAGCCCGGTAAATCCTTGCATGTCTGCATTGCGCTGGTGTTGCCTCGTTCTAGGCAACCTTGGCAAGAGTACACTGCCTCAGCAGTCTTCTCGCTGAGGTGGTCACCAACATCGTCATCCACGGATCTGCAGTGACAGCATGCTCGCTTGCAGGCGCTTGGCCGGTTGCCTTGCAGGTGCTGGCGCAGACAACGCAGGACCCACTTTAGATTGGTTGAATTTTTGTGTCTTAGCCAGTTGTTCAGGGCGGAAGACAAAGGGCTTGACCCTGCAGAGGGATCATTTCCAAGACAATGCATTGAGCTCAAAGTGCTGCCGGCACGTGCTTGCGAAATGGTCTTGAGATTGATCGTGAATGTGGAAGCCTCAGGAAATTTCTTGCATTATCCAAAGATTCTTCATCTGAGTGAGTGGCAACTCCAGAAGAGATGAATGCTTCCCAACATTAGGAGTGCCTTTTTGGGCCATTTTGGGAATCCTTCTTTTTAGGGAAGCTTGGAGAAGCCCCCACCCTTCTGCTCCAAAGCGGCCACGATGGCCACGACCAACACTCACTATGCACCCCGCCGCCACCGCCACCGCCCCGCCGCCCACCGTCACCACCACTAATACCACCGCCACGGCCGGCACCCGCTGCCGCCGTCACCGTCACCACCCCCCCCCGCAACCACCTCCACCACCCGCACCCGCCCGCACCCGCACCCGCACCCGCATTCGCACCCGCAGTCACCGTCACCACCCCCGCCCCTGCAACCACCTCCACCACCCGCACCCGCCCGCACCCGCACCCGCACCCCGCAACCCGCACCCGCAACCCGCACCCGCACCCCGACCCCGCACCCGCACCCGCACCCGCACCCGCACCCGCAGCAGCAGCAGCAGCAGCAGCAGCAGCAGCAGCAGCAGCAGCACCACCACCACCACCACCACCACCACCACCACCACCACCACCACCACCAGATTCTTTTGGTGCTTGCAAGCGCAAACCGGGGGTGGACCGAGGAGGCCCATCGGCAGGGCGATGTCTTTTTTGGCGGATGGATGCGACGCCCTGCCGCAGCGACGGTCTTGCTGAGCAGCATTGCCAAGGCCCATGCAGCAAAGGTAAATTTCAACATGTCACTGGCCAAGCTGCGCACTGGAGCGCTTATGAATGCCTGCATAGCAATAAAGAGCTGTGGGGACTGTTCGCGGTTGTTCTGCGGTTGGGTAAGCACTTTTTTGCCAGGGCTCAAACTACCAAGACGCAGACCTTCAAAGGGTCAAACAGTGAGGAGTGATGTTTTCAAGTGTTTCTAGTGATCAGAATTGCATCCAATTCATGGAGTCCATCACGGGAGCCATGCCGGAGACAGAGGTTGTGGACATAGTGACATAGGGTCCAGTGTGCCGATTCGTTACCAAAATTAGGCGTGGGTCCCCGTAGTAAGGACTATGGAATTTTAGTGTATATATTTGGGTCCCCATGTACGGAAACTACCAACTCAATTTGGGGTGCCCACAGTAAAAACCTAGCCCCACAGTGAGAGTCCCAGCAAAAAGCCCATGTCATCTAGCAGAGGGCAGTGTTGCCAAATTTTCGGTAATTTGGGGCTTGGATACCTTATGATATGATCAAAGTTTGGACATCCCTTATGCTGAGGCTTTCCCTGACATTTTGGAGGACCCGCCTCAAGTTGTAGATGGATATAGCAACTCTTGCTGGACGTGTTTCAGCGATTAGAAACGTGTCCGACCGCCGCCATTTTGGCTCCGGCAGCGTTCTCGAAGATCATGCCAGGTTATCCCAAGAGCCAAGGCTACACTCCAGCCACCCTCATTCAAGCCGAGGATGTACCAGAGGAGGATCTGGACAAGTATGACTCCTTTCGGGAGGATACAAATGTACACGCGCTTCGGGAAGATATCTCCGAGCTGCGGAATCGCGAAGAGGATTCTGGGGACAATTTTGACACGATGCTTTGGTTTCTTAATTCCGTTACGTCCGTGTATACAGATAGAAGAGGAGCAAAGCAGCCAGTAACAACTTAAAGTCTGCTGTTGTATCATAGCTTGTAGACTTCGAGTAAGCCGGGACCTGCAGATGTTTTTCAATCAACAGCATCAACCCTAAACCCTAAACCCTTAAACCCTAAATCAGTCCTAGGATTTAGTATATCAGATCGACACTCTCGAGAAGGCCGTCAAAGCGCGGAAGGCTCCTCTGGAGGATGAACTGAGCACCTTGCGCCTCAACATCCATGACAAGGTCACAGCTCCTACCAAAGGGGTTATATAGGGGTTATATAATATAGGGGTTATATAGGGGTTATATGGGATTTTAGGGTAATATTGGGAGAATGGAAAAGAAAATGGAAACTACTATTCTGTTCCTCCTCCTTCTAGTCCCCTCTTTCTTGATTTCTTTCTTTCTGTTTGTCTCTCCCTCCTTCTCTTCTCTTCATGGTGTTTCAGGGCCTAAAAGTAGGAAGACGAGCATTTGGCATAAGGATGGTGGGAGTGTTTGAACACAGGGAGGGTTGCTGCTGTGTTTGTTATTTTGCTATGATGCCCAGCCTTACAACAAATGTCCAAAGCTTTTGCTTGGGGCTTCTGTCTCTAGAAGCACAAACCCAGTAGTGTCACCACCGAGAACCGTGTACAGAAAAAATGGGTTGCTGCCAGGGAATTTGATTAAGTTTACATGATGAGGAAACCCTATTATTTACTACATACCCATGTTGGTGGTTTTATACTTTTGAAGTGGAGCATGGGAGTTATGCTTCGAGGGACTCGGCTTGAGGTAACAAATTGTACCCCCTTAATGAGCCCAGGGTACGCTCATCAAAAACCCCAAATGTGGTAACACCGAACTCCCGCAAGGTGGAGTTCAACTAGAGCGCGGGGAACAGAACCTAAAACAGAAAGAGCCCAAAGGGCTCAGGTAATCACAAGTTAGATACTGAGCCCCCGAGGTGACTACACAGGAACTCCATTGGGCCTGGGTTTTAGGGTTTGGGGTACCGTAAACCCATTTAGGGTTTAGGGATGTAAACCCTAAACCTCTATGGGTACCTGGGCCTTTGGGGAGCATTACGCAATGCACTTGTTTGCTTCTTGTTTTGAGTTACTACCAGTTCTCCAGCTACCGCGGCCGTGGCCGATGCACTACGGTGGATACGAAAATCCTGAATGACCCTCAGTACCTTATACCTGGAGAGTAGTGATATTATAGTATACTGAGGTCATGCAGGGCTTTAGTATCAAGAGTACGTCTTGTGCGTGCGTTCGTTGCTCAGAATAAACGGCCAATGTTTTTTCTAATTAGGGCTTGAGGTACTGAAATCCTGCAGGACTTCCAACAAAGATCCTCATCCCATTCCTAGCATGATAAGTATTACTTGTTGGCTTTATCAGATGGGGGTCTCCACCGCTGGCCTTCTCAAAGAATTTCTGTAAGTTAAGTGGGTGCATGGGGGGGGTTAGATACTGTTAGCGGTGGGTGGGGGAGGGTCCCATGACTTACTGGTCCTCTAGGGAGAGTAGGGGGGGGATCCTCATAATAATCCCTTTATGCACCCCCCCTGAAGCATCCGTAAGATAGATGAAGGAGATGCAGATGTGGCGCCTGCAGCATGAAGAGGAGGAGGGTGCAGGTCCCAGCGTCCTGGCATTTGTGCAAGGCCACGTCTTCACGACAGTGTGTTCGCTGGTGATCATCGCGAACATGGTCGTCATGGGCATGGAGTTTCATGCAGAAGAGACTGGGTTGCTGTTAAGGAACCTGCTATATGGGGAAACCCTTTATTTACGTATATATATATATATACCCACTATAGTAGCTTGAATTAAGTTCCTTCACTAAATAGCCCCGCCTATTTAACCCAATATCGTAATCTAAATTCAGTTCCTTAAGCCTAAACCCTAAACCCGATATATCCTTATATCCTACATGGGCATAATTACTCCCTACTTACCCCAATGTAACGTAACTCCTATATAGTTACCCCCTAATTTACTAATTTACCCCAATATAGTAATTTAGAGTAAGTTCTGTAACCTGAAACCCTATATATCCCTATATACCCTACATAATTAAGTTCCTCAACCCTAAGCCCTATATATCCCCATTATCTCTACATACCCGTGTATAATTACCCTTTATTTACCCCAATTTGGTAACTTAAAATAAGCTCCCTGACCCTAAACCCTAAACCCTAAACCCTAAACTCCTTAACGGCAACCAGGAGAAGAAGGCCTGGTTCGCGTGGGCCGACAATGGCTTCCTGTGCTTTTATTGCTTTGAGCTGCTCCTCAAGGTGACTGGTTTAGGATTTAGGGTTTAGGATTTAGGGTTTAGGACTTAGGATATAGGATTTAGGGTTTAGGATTTAGGATATAGGATGAAGGGTTTAGGACTTAGGATATAGGATTTAGGGTTTAGGATTTAGGATATAGGATGAAGGGTTTAGGGTTTAAGGTTTAGGATTTAGGGTTTAGGATTTAGGATATAGGATGAAGGGTTAGGGTTTAAGGTTTAGGATTTAGGGTTTAGGGTGTAAGGTTTAGGATTTAGGGTTTAGGGTTTAAGGTTCAGGATTCAGGGTTTAAGGTTTAGGATTTAGGGTTTAGATTTTGTTGCTTTGAGCTGCTCCTCAAGGTGATCTACTACCAGCAGAACCTCTTTCTGGGGCGCTGTTCTACCGTGTGGTGGAATCTCCTATCCCATTAAGAATTGCTCTCGCAGTTTTTTGTTGTAGTTTAACCCCAAGGACTCTAAACCCTAAAGCCTAAGAGGAATTGGCTGGACGTGATCATCGTGATCAGCGGCCTTTTAGAACAGCTGGTCCTCCCATCACTGGGCAGCTCAGGGCACTTGCACCTCTCGGGCCTCAGAGGCAGGGGATTCCCAAAGCTAGGGATATCTCATAATACTCAGAATAATGAATAATGAATAAAGAATAGTAACAATAATGATACTAACAATACTAACAATAGTAGTTATACACGAAGTTCATGACTTTATATATATATATGTATATATACTCTCAATGGAACAAAATAGAAGTTTAGTTCATGGAAAAGAAATTGGAAGCTACTGTTTAGTACGGTTATTTAGGGCCATGTAACCGCAATGACGAAGAATCAAAGGGAAAAGAACATGGAACATGAAATGGACGCTGGGATAGAAAAGTGGTTTACAGGGATCAGGGTTTTCCCAAAATCAGGGGCTCCTTTTTGGGAGCCCCTTTAACAAGGATTATTGTATAAATGGTCACGCCCCTCCCCCGTCCCCCATGGCATGGTGGCTATCTTCTAAGCTCTGTGGCCCGTGGTCTGGGTTTCTTCTAAGCTCTAAATCAGGATTAAAGTATAACCCCCACACCCCCGCCGCCGTGATCCTGTGGCCTGTGGTCTGGGTCTTGTAAGTTAGATTGAAGTTTAGAGAGGTTTACGTTGTTTACAGAGCATTCACACCCTAATACACCCCCTGTGGCTTCTGGTTTAGGTGGGTCTTGTTCTTTCCATTAGGTTCATGGAGGGAATCTAACGCATGTATAGTGTTCATAGATGCATGGTTCTATAGCAGGCTTATAGCTGTGACTGTTGATACTGTTGATACTTTTTAAGCGTGACAAAAACACAAAACCCCCCACCCCCCCTGTGGTCCTGTGGCCTGTGGCCTGTGGTCAGGGTCTTGTAAGTTAGATTGAAGTTTAGAGAGGCTTGCGTTCTTTGTAGAGGATTCAGAACCTAATACCCCCACCTCCCTGTAGCTTCTGGTTTATGTGGGTCTTGTTGTTTACATTAGTTCATGGAGGGAACATAACGCATGTATGGTGTTCATAGATGCATGGTTCTATAGCAGGCTTACAGCTGTGATTGTTGAGACTGTTGATACTCTTGAAGCGCGACAAAAACGAAAAGGGCCAAAAGCGACGACAGTTCTGAGGATCACGATGAGGACCAC